GCAACCTCCGCCTCTTGAGTACAAAGGATTCTCTGACCTCAGCCTCCTGAGTAGCTGGGACTACAGGCACATGCCACCCTGCCCAGCTACTTTTTTGTATTTTTAGTAGAGATGGGGTTTCACTGTGTTAGCCAGGATGGTCTTGATTTCCTAATCTCCCCACTTCGGCCTCTCAAAATGCTGGGATTACAGGCGTGAGGTATCGCCTCCCACAGGTTTTACTTTTAAGTTACAAAAACAAACTTGCAGCAAACAGTTTGCTTGTTTATTTATTTCTATCTTTTTTTTTTTCCTTTTAATAAAAACTGAATAACCTCCCAAGCAAATCAAACATGATGGACAGATTTGTTTCTACCTAACAGAACATGTAGCATGGTAGTCAAGCAGCATGCCTCAAGCATGGTGGTCTTGGAGGACCAGTGCAAGCATCACCTTGGAACTTATAAAAAATAGAGTAATTTACAAACCATTCAAAATCTACCGAATCAAAATAAGTATTTTAACAAACTCTTTGGATAATTTTTTGGCACATTAAAGTTTGAGAAACACTGTACTAAAGCAATTCATTATCATCAAGTGTATAAGAACTTGTATGTGTTTCTGTATTAACAGAGGTAGAAAGATTTATAAGGATTACAGGTAAAAAGTGAAAATCCATAGTGAATTTGTCTCTTTTTAATTTTCACATGACTAATTAGATCTTAAGTGCCTTATATTAAATAAATTGGATATGATTTACACTGAAAAGACAAGCTGTCTACATGTGGTTGCTGGCCCATGGTTTGCTCATACTTGTTACAAAGAGAATCTTCTGCCTAACAATTAAAGATAGTGTAAATCTAAATAAACTATCATGACTGATTCCATCAATTGGTATCAGTCAATCTAAACAGGATTGACTAAGGGACTAAACAGGCAAGTGATATAGTGAGAGAATAAATATGCTCTACTTAGCTAACAAATGACATATCCTACATATATAAAAAGTCATTTTTCATTCAAATCAACGTGCAAAAGGTATATAATCCAACAGAAAATGAATAAAAGCCTTGAACAGATACTTCAAAAGGAGGAGATGTAAATGGTCAATAAACATATAGACAGGGGAGTATAATTTCCAGTTGGAGGGAAATTAGTATGCAATATTAATTATCTGATCTCCTTTAGAACTTGGGACTCTAAAACAACTAGCTGATCTGCCTCAGGTTGTACTAGCTGATTACAGCTAAGGGAAAATGAGCCAAGGTCAAGAGCTGATAAAGGTGCTGGGTTTGAATATGACCCCCAACTTCATTTTTTTTTTTCAATTTTTTTTATTGTACTTTAGGTTCTGGGGTACATGTGCAGATCATGCGGGGTTGTTGCATAGATACTTAGGTGGCAAGCTGGTTTGCTGCCTCCAGCCCCCTGTCACCTATACCTGGCATTTCTCCCCATGTTATCCCTCCCCAACCTCCACACCCCCCTCTGTCTCTCCCCTAGAGCCCCCAACAGACCCCAGTGTGTGATGCTCCCCTCTCTGACCCCCAACTTCTGATCGCATGCAGTTTTCTTTGCCTGAGCCTGCATTATAAGTTTGGCCCTAAATTTGCATCCCTTGAGTCAACCTTTAGAAGATTTTCCATAGAGTATCGTGTTATTCTTCAAACAATCCCAGGCTTAGGCATCCCAAGCGGCTCTTAGGGCTTCATAAAACAGTGCCTGCAAGCATAAAAGAGGGGCTTAAAGGATTTTTTCCTACTTCCGATTACTTTCTTATCATTGACTTTATAGGGAAGTATCAGATTGATTTTAAAATGGTAAGATAAAATTCTACTTTTTCAAAATATCTGACATAATTTGCATTACATCTTCTGTTTGGATTATGAAAGGGTGGATTAAGTGTCAAATTAACAAGAGGAAAATAGATTTCATGGAGATTAAGAATATTGCAGAATTTTCAAGGAGAGATAGAGTGTACCCAGCAGGAGTCGGTGTCTGTGGAAGTATTAGGAATATTAATCCAGCCATGCCCAATATGTATATGTGTGAGAAGAATGTGTATCTATATTATAACATGATTTTCCTTTAAGTCATTGCACCTCTCTAAGATTTTTTTAAATGTATAAAACGGATAAAATAATAACCTAAGTGAGAAAACCTATATAAATCATTAACCAAAATGGCATATTACTATCTACAAGTTAAAACATAATAATATATCATACAATAATTAAGTTTGTGGGTGTTTGTTCTGCACATTTGAATTATATTTCCATAGTGACTGCCCCTAAAAAGTAATGCAATATTTAAGAAATGGTGAGGCAAATGCCAGAGCACACATGGCCGCGGTCTGTTGACATACGATTACTTTAGTTATACCTAGTACAGTAAAGAAAGCAAATGATGTGGCTTAGATAAGAAGATTCAGAGGATGTGTAAACTGTAAACACATAAGTAATGTATATTATGTCATTATGTGGGATTTGGTCTTTCTCTTAAGTTCCAAATATTTATTTTTAATAAGCTATAGATACCCAAGGAAACAAGTCCTTGGATAAAACTCTGAGCACATTGAGAGGTTGTGAAGAAGGGAAAAGTCTCTCAACAAAGAAGCCAATAGACGCCATCCATAAGCACTAAGAAATTGTACCTTCCTTGAAGCCAAAGCTCTCCCATACTGTCAATGTCTTTAGAAAAGTCTGAATCCAACATTGACAGGTAATTAAAAATGAGGGAGATTTTGTGTTTAAATAGTTAATAATTCCTAGATGATTATGAAAATGGAAAATACAACCCATATAGAAAACAACTTTGGAAAAGATAGCCACCCTCTTGGGAAAACAGCCAAAGAACTGTATTCTGAGATGTTACTAAGGAATAATACATTTTGCTGTCTGAGGAGCACTGAATGATTGCTCTAAAATAAGACAAACCAAGAGGTAAAAATCAGACACATTTTATTTGATGAAATAAGTGAAGTTTAGCCTAAAGAATGGGGAAAATTATATTACCATCTTTAACTTTGATAAATGATGCTCCATTCAGTAAATAATTATGAAGCTACAACTAATTTTCACATACTATGTTTGGTGCTAGAAATGCAATAGTGAAAAGTGTAAGGTAATTCTCTACCCTTATATTCTAGTTGAGGGAAAAGATAGACATCAAATAATAATCAGGAAAATAAGGAAGTTATTTTGTGTAAATGGGACTAGATTACATACCTGAAGAGAAAATAAGATTAAAAAATTTAAAAAGCATATATCAACTCAATTCAAAGAAGAAAATGAATTTGAGTATTCAACCATGAAGCAGAAGGCTGTAGATATTAGTTAATATAGGAATACTGAGAAGAAGGTAGGATGTGTTGGCTGATGACTACCCATTCAGCATGATTTAGACTACCTTCTCTATAGGAAGGAGGGTAAGACCATATTTTCTAAAGGTTTTTTTTTACCCTAAGATCATATAATTAGGAACTTCCAGTTCTGCCATTATTTCAAATATTCATCCTATACATATATGTTGGTAGGAATATAGGTTTGGAATAATTTATGTATTTTCCTCCTAATTCACAGTAAATTGTGCTGTTCCCTTCAGAATTTTGCTTTCTTTGCTCAAGAAGTTTTCATAAAATTGAAATAAGATAACTGGTTTTATGAGATTGAGACATGAGTATTTTCATGTAGTCAATGGATTGTCTAGAATTGTTATGTGCAAAGCCTAAGTTGTTTGATAATTTAACAAGCTCCAACAAAGTCCTGGATGAGGAAGCAACTTGTATTCTTCCCATGTGCTTTAATGTTTGGCTTTCTCTTTTTTTTTTTTTTTTTCTGTCTGTTTTTTTTTTTTTTTTTTTTTTTTTTTTTTTTTTTTTTTTCAGTCTGAACTGGCAGTAGGAACATAGATGTTTGACATTAAGAAGTATCTACACTTAGTATCTATAATGTAGCAGAAACGAATATCTGGAAGCCATCATTCTCAGCCAACTGACACAGGAGCAGCAAATCAAACACTGCATGTTCTCACTCATAGGCAGGTGTTGAACAATAGGAACACATGGACACAGGGAGGGGAGCACTACACACTGGGGTCTGTTGGAGGGAAATAGGGGAAGGACAGTGGGGGGTGGGGAGTTGTGGGGGTATGGCATGGGGAGAAATGCCAGATATTAGGTGAGGGGGAGGAAGGCAGCAAATCACACTGCCATGTGTGTACCTATGCAACAATCTTGCATGTTCTTCACATGTACCCCAAAACCTAAAATGCAATAAAAAAAGAAAAAAAAGATATTTCCAATGTCACTGAGAGAAGCACCTGGTAAAGTTATTCCTATGTGTCATGCCTCCTCTTAACGACACAGAAATGGAAGTCCTTAGATTCCTCCTTCTTGGGATCCCCGGACTGGAGAAGAGTCACATCTGGATATCCATTCCTTTCTCATCTGTGTACCTTCTTTCTTTGATGGGTAATTTTACCATCCTTTTATTAATCAAGACAGAGCAAAGCCTCCATGAACCTATGTACTATTTCCTTTCCATGCTCTCCATCTCTGACCTAGGGCTGTCTCTCTCTTCCTTACCCACAACTTTGGGACTATTTCTATTTGATGTCCATGAAATTCATGCAGCTGCATGCTTTGCCCAGGAATTTTTCATCCATCTGTTCACAGTCAGTGAAGCCTCTGTACTGTCTGTAATGGCATTTGACCGGTACGTGGCAATCCGCAACCCTTTGAGATACAGCACTATCTTAACTAGTTCCAGAGTTATCAAAACAGGGGTTTTTCTGACATCTAAGAATATTCTTTTGATCCTTCCACTGCCCTTTCTCTTGCAATGGCTGAAATACTGTCATCAAAACCTGCTCCCCCACTCCTATTGTCTCCACCAGGATGTCATGAAGCTGGCATGTTCTGATAACACAGTCAATGTCGTCTATGGACTCTGTGCAGCACTTTCTACTATGCTGGACTTGGTGTTTATTATCTTCTCCTACATTATGATTTTAAAAACTGTACTGGGAATTGCTACCCCTAGAGAACAGTTCAAGGCCCTCAACACGTGCATCTCTCACATCTGTGCTGTGCTTATCTTCTATGTGCCCATGCTGAGTGCTGCAATGCTCCACCGGTTTGCCAGGGATGTGCCTCCTATGATCCACGTCTTCATGGCTGATATTTTCCTGCTGGTGCCACCCCTGATGAATCCCATCGTGTACTGCGTGAAGACCCGTCAAATCCGAGAAAAGGTTGTGGGGAAGCTTGGTCCAAAAAGAAGCTGATCAAAGGAATGAGAAAGGGAATGAATATCTAAGTGGTAACTAAATAGATATTGACTGTTTCAGTGGGAGAGAGTACAATGTACTAGAGGGGTCTTGTATTTTATAGTCAGATAGAGCTCATAGAGTGAATGACTTTTGACACTCAGTACCCTAAGTGCCCTTATTCCCCCATGAGTTTGTGAAAATTACTTCAGGTCTCTGATTCTAAGATTGTACATCCAATAATTTAAGCCTTAAAGGAAGACTGGGAGCATCTGCTTCCTGCTTTTAAAAATATGCCAATAAAATAATATGAGAAAAGTACCTATATAAAACTTGTCTTAAAAAAAAGTATTCTCCTACTTTTCTTTATATTCGTAGCAAAAAAATCCTATTAAGAGAAAAGCTGAATTATTTCTTCAATTTTATTGAAGATGCAATATTTGATAAAATTCATAAACACCTTGCATAGGCTTAATAATTTTAAAATATGTATACTAACTGCATTTTTGGATGGATATAAATTCATACTACAAAAGCTATTTTTCTGGAGTCATACTATTCAGTTACATTATTACAAAGGTCATTTTTTAAAAGAACTCTAGACGACCATATCTCCATTGTTTATTTTAGTGACCCATGTTACAAAAAAAATACATTTATCTTCTCATGGGAACATTCTTAGCTCTGGCTATTGCTTTTTAAGCCTTTTCTGCATATATACTTTACTCCCAGTTCTTAGACTCAGCTAATCATACCCATTCTCTAAAGATTGTCTTTTTTTATAATTTAAAAGTAATTAGTGAAGATCTTACTATTTTCCTCAATCTTTTATCTAAGTAAGACTGCATTTTCACTATGAAGTCTTTCCTGACCATTTCCAGCCAAAATACACTTTTGAACTTCTCTTAAGTATCAATCTTTCTGTCTTTATTAATCATTTTACATATGTAAATTGCCTTGCCACCCTAGAGTCCCAAATGTTGTTTTTGCATATATAACCTGTGTTTGTAAGGCCTTAAACAATTATTTGATGTTAGAATGTGAATCTCAGGAGACTAGTGATTGTCTGCCTTATTTACCGATTCATACTATTTGCAGGCACATTGAGAAGCCCATAGTATGAACACAAATAACTGTGAATAAATAAATGAATGAACACTTAGCAAACATTGAGATAACGTATGCAGAGTCACAAAAATCACACATACTCAAATACGCACGCATTGTCATCTTTAATCCTGAATTTATAATAATTTCTCCAAATTTTATATTTTCTCAATCCTTTTAAATATTTTCCTACAATAGTCCACAGAGATCTTTTTAACATCATAGAGAAATAAGGTTTTTTGGTGACTCATTCACGTCTTTGTTTGTTTTCTTTGTGTCCAACACACGCTTCAATGCCAATGTTTGTCTTAGATTGTAAACAAGGCAATGAACTTTTATTTTTATAATGCCATGAATAATTATACTTGATAAACCTCTTGAGAGGAACTAGTGAAAATGATGTTTATTTTGATAGAGAAGAAGTTCATTTCTTAAAGCCAAAGGTCAGAGTAATTCAAAAAATGACTTTGGGGACTTTAACTGCGAAGAAAATTAGGTTTCTTGACCGGGAACCGTATTCAAAATTAGCTGGATAGCAAACCACTCCAAAACTAAGTGACCCAAAACAACAATTATGTATTTGGTCATAGCTCTGTAATTTGTGCAGAGCTCAGCAGAGATATCTTGTCTATTCTCCACAAGTACCAACTGGACACCTTCACTGGGATGGAGGATACATTTTGAATACAGTTCATTCCCAAAGCTTGCACCTGATGCTTGCTGTCAGTGTTGAGTTTAACTAAGCTCCGACATATGCTTCTCCATGTAGCTTAGGCTTTTATGACCATGTTAACTGGTTTCCAAGAAAAACTGTTTTCAGGAACAATAGATAGCATGCCAGGAAACAGGATAGAAACTTCTCATCTTTCTAAGGCCTATAGCTGCAACAAATAAAAGATAATTTCCACTGCATCTATTAGTTATACATTAATGGAACAAGCTCAGATTCAATGGAAGAGAAATAAATTCCATCTCTTGATGGAGAAAGTGATACATTATTTGGAGCTGCCTTTTATCCAACACAGACCAGAATGACTATTTAGTTTGATAGTCATTTTCACAAACTGCAAATTATGAATCAGTGTAGGCCTCCACCTGTGTGTCTGTGCCTGCGTGTCACTGAGCACTAATGGAGACCATCCGGGAGTTGTTCAAAATGGAACACCTCCATCCCAGAGTTGTTCATAATAACTGCTATTTCAATTGATCATCGAATATGACAAAATATGATTACTTTGCATTCTTGTTCAGCTCCCACATTCATTTCTCTCAGGGATCAAGGAAGCTGTGTATAAGCATCTTTATATGCAGTGTTCTGAAGAAAATTCACAAACTTTTGACATTGAGTGTAGGAGGGAAACCCCATAAGTGCTGTGGCAAGGGTCTGAAGCCTCAGCCTGTTCCCATATAAACATTGATTTATGTGCACGTGTCCTTATAGTAGAACGATTTAGAGATAGCAAGGGGAGAGATGCCAGATGTAGGTGACGGGGAGGAAGGCAGCAAATCACACTGCCACGTGTGTACCTATGTAACAATCTTGCATGTTCTTCATATGTACCCCAAAACTTAAAATGCAATAAAATAAATGGGAAAAAAAATTGATTTAGAAAAGAATTAGAAATGTAGGCACATAGTTATTCCTTTATATAATCATATATAATCTTACAGTTACCTATAATCATAAAGATATATACTCGATATAACCTTTAATTTTACTAATGACTATCGATTGGGTTATGAAGCATGGAACTGAGGTGACATTGTGAACAAAGTGATCCTAAGGCAAGATGCTCTAAGCCCTCTGCCACGCCCTCATAAGGGCTGCTGGAGGGTGCCTCCGCTGTGCAGCAGCGCCAGCGCTGTGAAAGCACCAGCTGTTTAGTCAACTAGGGAAGGAGATGTCCAAAGTGACGGAGACATCTCCTTCTTTGGGGGAGTGAGGAGAAAACTCCGCTTCTCCAAGCTCTTGTGGCAAGGCCTGACAGCTGTCAGGGAAGCCGGCAGACATCCAGGGGCTTAACTGTCTCTACGTGATGCTGTGCTTCAGTGGTCACATTCCATGTCTACTTTCACGCCCTGCTTCTGCACCTGGTTTCTCTTTTTCTCAAGAATTAATAATAGTAATATAATCTTAGTGTCCTTGATATTTCTGACAAATATGCAAAGAGCGATGATGCGTCAGGTTTTCTCCTCACCTCGGCTACTTGAAAGTCTTGGGCCCCCTATCTTCAAGACACGTGATTTACCTGACCCTGTCACCGACCACCATTACCTCACCCTATCTTCCCTGCCCACTGCTTTGTATTCAATAAAAGTCAGAGTGTCCAGGCACTCGGGGCCACTGCAGGTCTCTACGCGGTTGGCAGCAGACCCCCAAGCCCCAATTCTCTTTTCTCTACCTCTGTGTCCATGTCTTTTATTTCTACAGTTTCTCATCTCCACACCAACAGGGAGGGGCTCACAGAACCCTATAGGGCTGGACCCTATATCTGGCATGCCAACGTGGGTGTTTTCCAACGTGGGCTTCTCCCTTGAGGTGTGAAGGTATGCCTTGAGCGTGGAAGTGGAGGATTTATTGACGAGAAATTCCTGAGGACTGCGACTGATAAGCTTGTGGTAAGCTTAGGCAACTCAGAGGAATTCGGGGTAACCATGGGACAACGGAATACAAAGTATTCAGCCTTTCTTAATTTTATTAAAATTCTTATTTAAAAAAGAGGGGTTAATGTTTCTTCTGATAAACTCTTTCAGTTATTTGAGGTGATAGATCAGTTCTGTCCTTGGTTCCCCATTGATGGAACCTTAGAACTTAAGGATTGGGACAAGGTCAGCAGCTACCTTAAAGCGGCTCAAAAGGAAGGGCATGTTTTTCCTGTTACAATCTGGTCTATTTGGTCTTCTGTTAAAACTGTCCTTCAGTCTTTGCAGACACAAGAATAGTCCTTGGAGGTCAACTCCTCCTTGCTCTCTTTAGAGGAGGTTGAAGACGTTCTTGAAGTACTTTCTACTGAGAACACTGCCAAGATAGAGGAAGCCATTGCTGATATGGAAGCAGACCCAGCTCTTTTGGATCTGCTTCTACTCCTAAACTTTTAGCACCACCTTTTGATGACTATGAGGATCTTACACGTGAGTTACACACTCTTAATTGGCAAAGCTCTGTTGAGCCTCCCATGCAACCACCGTCATGGTCAGAACCTTCTCTGCCTGGCTGTGGGCATCAGCCCAGTAATGAGGCTAAGACTTTGCCCTCCTGTAGGGCTCAGCCTGCTAATCAGGCTCAGACTGTCTTATCTCTGCCTTCCGTGCATCAGGCTCCTCAGAAGCCTGCTCTGCCCTCCACTGGTCAACCTGATTTGCAGGAAGCCGTGTGCAGGCCTCGCTATAAGGCTCTCAAATTTTCCTTTCAACAGTCCAATTTCCTTTCCATTCTGGTCTGGCCACGACTGTGGTTAGCTCCCAAAATCAACAAATAACATATATTGGTGAAAATAATACTTCTCTTATGAGAGCAATTGCTCAGGCTAGGGAAAAAGCAGATGTGCTACTTACTCACATTTAGTAAAGCACCTCTTAAGAACAGGAAAAGTTCAAGTTCTCTATCAGTTGTTTTCAATCTATCTGTGCTTTCTTACTCCGTTCTTCTGTTGCTTTGTCTTTCATTGCTTCATAAAGAAATAGCTGAGCAAATAGGGATGAGAAAATTAAAGATAACCCAGCTAAGAAAAAAGAAAAAATAAATGAGGAAGAAGGAGTCCGTCAGACCCTCCTCCATATTTTATCAAAGAGTGGCCAGATCCACCTGACATTCCTCCATTAGAGGAATCAGAGGCCATTTCAAAAGTGAAACTTGCAGCTCCAGCAGCAACCTTTAAGTCAGCCCAAGGCCAACAAACACTGCCCAGGCAGGGTGAGCAAACAGCACAAAGACAAACAACAAGCAGCCGCTGGACGGGGCCAGGTCCACAAACCTACACACTGCTTTCCGCAGGTGTTCCACAGTGAAATTTTGTATGTTCTTTGCGAACAAGTAACATCCCAAATTGTAATTTTCTACTAAAATTTAGGTAAAATTTAAGTATTTGTAAGACCTTTAAACGTGGCTCTTTTAAAATCTGATTTAAGTAAAGCAATAATCTCTATAGGGAAAGAAACTACAGACAGCCCATAAATTAGTAAGGAGCAATTAGAAGCAAGCCATATAGC